GAGAGGGAGAATAGAGAGCACACGGAGTTTGGAAGAAAAACACAACTCTCAAAATATTATTGCTTCTCACCCCTATTTATACCAAAAACAACCTAACGGGCAAAACAATAAAACTAAAACTAACATACAAATTGGACAAAATACAAGCAATCTCCACCTTGGTTCAATTTTACAAAGTATTAATAGAAAAAAATGTGACCCTTACAATAGCATTGAATCTATATCCATTCATCTCCTAAATGTGTTGTTGATGCAACCAACACATATGTTGAATCGTATCCATTTGAATATGCTGCCATTTCTAAGTTTGCGTCTTCTTTGAGCCCAATTCCAGTAATTTCACTCTATCCAGGAAATTCCTCTTGAAATGCCCATCTTTATGGCAATGATAACACTTCTTGGATGTCTCCGACTTCATTTGAGATCGTCCATAATAGCTTTTATTAGATCTTTGATCTTCTCTTCCTCTTACGAATAGGATATCTCCATTCCTCTCCTCCTTGAATTCAGATTTGCGCTAAATTTGTTTTGACATCAGCACTAATTTTACCTCAGTCATCGTCTAGATCTGCTTTCCATATATCATCGTATCCACTATACCTTCATAAGACTTTGGCAAGGAACTTAGAAAAATAATTCTTTAGTCTTCCTCTTCAATCTTCATATCTGCGCACTTAAGATCTAGAATGATCTTATTAAAATCATTCACGTGCTTCCTCAGATCCTTAGACTCGTCCATTTGCATCATGTACAACTACTTCTTCAAGAATAGTCGATTAGCGAGTGATCTCTTCAAGCTTCTCCCAGACCTCCACCGTTGAATCTTCCTCCGCCACTTCTCTTAATACTTCATCGCCAAGCGAAAGAAGTATCACACTGTGAGCTTTTAACTGAATTTCCCTTGCGTTTGCTTTGTTTCCTATAGCCGCTAGACTTTCCAGCAAAATCGCATCAGAAAATCCATGGTGAACTAGAAGATCCTTAATCTTTATTCTCCACAAGCTAAAATCATTCTCACCATTGAATTTGTCGATCTCAAATCTTTGTATCGACATTATTTGGAGCAGTAACTTCTTCCGCTTCACCCATTGTTTACAAAGAACAACCCAATAAATGATTTCCTCTTCTTCCTTCACCTGTTGTCCACAAAGAACAACCAAGAAAGTCCACCATCGAGCGATTTGCTTATCCTCCACATATTGGCTCAAACTCATGCCTTCTGTGACGTCCTGGGTCTGCTTTCGATCCCGCATGAGTCTATCTGCAAGACCCCGCTTCCGATCTCGTGAGTCCGCCTCCCGCACGGTTGACCTACCTTCAACCCCTATACACACGACTTAGCCCTGCGCTTACCTGTTGCAATCCCGATGTCCGTTTGCCTGACTTCCGTGCACAACATATGCCTTCAACGAGGAGTGACTCGTGCTCGTGTTCTGACACCCACGCACAACTCACGTCCAGTGGACTGTTCTTGATTACAAGAGACTTCCTCCTTAATCACCTCCACCAAGCTCTGATACCAATTGCTGTGAATTCTTGGAGGAAGAGTAATCTAAAAATTGAAGGAATTGAATCCACCACCAATTCTTCTTTGTTCTTGGACAACAACACCAAGGGAGAGAAGAGGGGGAAGAGAGCACATAGATTTTGGAAGAAAAAACAAAACTCTCAAAATATTATTATTTCTCAACCCTATTTATACCAAAACAACATAAAGAGGCAAAACAGTAAAACTGAAACTAACATACAAATTAGACCAAAAACTGATAAAATTCTTTCTCTCTCAAATTTCTTTGCTCTCTTTTTTTTTTAATATTCTAAGCATAATTTGGTGTGATTCATGTGAAAGTTCACTAGAGGTTGTAAGATCTCATCAAACTATCCATAGGCACACCAAGAGGGGGCGGGGGTTGAATTGGTTGTTTTAAAATTTTCTTTAACATAAAACAATTTTCTGAGATTTTTCAATAACTTAAAACAAACAATATTATCACCTGATGCATAAGCAAATTAACGAAATAAAAATATAACAACGGTGAAGATGAGTTATTCAAATCAATATATCATCAAACAAAAATTTTTCAACATGCAATTTTTAGGAAAAATAAATCGCAAAAAAGTAAAATGCAAAAAGTAAAAATTAAAATGAACACACCATAATTTTATAGTGGTTTGGTCAAACAATGACCTACATCCACTCTATGGAGTCCTCTCCGTGTATTGCACTAAAGCTTTAGTGTCTCTCCTTTAACCTTCATAGCTAGGCGGAGAAGCCCTTACATTCTTTTCACCAACCAGTGCGGTAGAGAATCTTAACCTCCTTTTTCATCCTCATGTTGAAGACAGAGAACCTTACAATCCTTTTTCACCGTCATGGTGAAGGCAAAGAACCTCACATTCATTTTTCATCCTCCTGGTGAAGGCAAAGAGCCTCGACGATCTTCGGGTTGAAGTTCTTATTCCTAGATCTACCCAAGAAACAAAGTAAGACACTCGGAGTAAACAAGGCAGAAGCTTGCTCGAAGTGTGAGGATATTCCACACGGTTGCTCCTTTCTCCTTCCCAAAGCTCTCCAAGATATCTATCAAAGCTCTCTCTTCAAAAAACCCAACATCCAAAAGACTTGGAACAAGTCTATTAAGAGAGCTTAAATACAAGGTTTCACAAAAAACCTATTAATTCAATTCTGTCGACACTAATCGTACAGTACAATTAGTTCAAATAGCCATGTTAGTACTGTACAAAGAATAAGATGTTATACGACCAGTTAAAGTATTTGAGCTAAACGTCCACCACGATATAAGGCATCGCCCAATACAATTAGTTCAATTGAATTGGATCATCATCCCGTACGATCAGTGGCGATTAATTATCATCTCGTGCAGCAATCGGGTCGTACAGTATGATTGGTTCAATCATACAATATGATTTGATTGGATCAATTGATCCAAATTTGATCCACTAATTATAGGATTAGATTAGGCAAGATTTCATTATATCATACAACATGATTAGTATAAATTTTGAATTTCAAAATATGATTGATGGTTGAGATCTTGATTTCTATTGATCGTCCTGTGCGATATTAATCATACAATATGATTAAAACATAAATAGTAATTATGCTAATTAGTTGTTATAATAATTTTCAAAATAGCTGATCTTCTAGTACGTTATAGATCGTACAATATGATTAGTTAAAAAAAAAATACAAGACTGTGTGTTTGCACGGTCACCAAGTTTAATATCTACCAAATACAAGACTTTGACTCAAGAAAAGTAGAATTAAATAAAAGTAAAAATACAGACTCTTAAGAACCTTAAACCTATTCTACCCAGTCTTAACTATCACTTTGCATGGTATACAGTGAACCTGAAATGTTAGTGCACAAGAAAAAAATATCCAATAATAATAATAACATGAGATGACATATAGATAACCCAATAATTTTTGTTATTATCAAAATCACAAGACTGGAATCCAAATTTGTAATATCATGGACAGTTATAAATTAAACATCAAGTGTGATGAACATGAATATTTGCTTGTATAATATTCGCCCACCACCTACTTGTAAATAGTCCTCAATATTGTCAAAGCTAAATCAGCGGCAACTAATATAAATCAATTTATCATCTCTTTTTTCCTCAAATAATCCCCTAATATATATTGATCACCTCCTATTTCTAGTGTCACTCATGAACCTAATTATAATTCAAAAAATATATAATTTTTCAAATCCACAATGTGAATAAAATTTTACTACTTCATATTATGTGAAATTATGTCACATAATATGACTTAATGAAATTTTTTTTTACATAATGGATATAAAAAACTACATATTTTATGAACTATTATTAGGTTCGTGAGTAACACTAGTGATAGGGAGGTGATCAACTTATGCTAGTGTAGAGAGAGAGAGAGAGAGAGAGAGAGAGAGAGAGACTTGATTTATATTAGTTGCTGAATAGGTGAAGATTGATCTGATTCAGCTTTAACAATATTACACGATATCAATTACAAAAACTAGGTGTATGCTTTTAGCTCACTGGATTGATTGAACCGATTCAAAATTCCCATATAGAACAGAGCGTTCGAACTTCCATTTAGTCAATTAAATTGGTTTTGCCAAATCAAACCAGTTAGAATCTGAATTTGTCACTACATTCCGGTTCATAAGCCAATGCGGTTCACAATCTGGAAAAAAGTCTAGAGACTGAATCTTAAATAAGCAATGCAATTATGAATATATGTTTGGATTTTTGGAAGCAAAAAAAAAAAAAAGAAACAAATTAATCAAAATATGACCAGACTTTTACAGAAAATGTGGAACATGCATAGTTGTGCAACTTGGTTTGAATTTTCCATTTTTATTCAAGTTATACTCACCCCTGCAAAAAAGAATGACTTGCTGTAATAATGGAATATATGTTCAGCATACTTGTAAGATTTTAAAACTTGAACATGAATCAGATATCCTGAGTCTCAATTTTATATAAAATTTCTTTTATATTTTTTTTTATTAAGAGCATAACAGAGAAGCCCGATCAATAATTTAAAAGAAAAAAAAATCTAAAAGATCATCTAACAAAGTTGTTCTCATCAAACCTGATGAACATTTTTTAGTAATAAAAATCCAAAAGCAGCCGCGATACCTGCAACCAAACAAAACAAAGAAAAAGAAACAATAAAGCAAATCAAGTTCCAATAGGGTAATGATTACACGTACATCCTGCTCAAAGCTGTTGCAAAGAAAAAAAAATAAGCGTTCGTATTTCTTATCGCCATAGGTAAAAGCTTCTAACCAAGCTTTTTTGAAAATTGGATTGAATATTAATCCAAAAGAGAGGTTTAAAGTCCAATCAAGATTGAATTGAATGACATAATAAATATTAAAATTATTTTAATATGATGCAATTATAATATTTTCACCAATCCATTAACACACAATATTATAAATCTGGATATTTATCATTGAATATTTTGACCATGATTCAAAATTAAAATTTCAGGACAAGATATTTTGATTATGTTTTCTATATATAGGTACAATTATATAAGTCCTTGCAAAAATATATGGAGGACTGCCATCAGATTGAAAAAGAAATGACAAATAAAATTAGAAAAAATTTCACCAACCTCTTCCTATATTTAAAAGGCATTCAACTTAAATTATAGTAATTATATTTAAGTAATTATTTAATCTAAACTTTTATTTCTAGCCATTTATCAATTCATAAAAAAATGGACTTAGCTGGTTAATCCGCTAGTGAAATTGGTCTTGGAACTAGACTGAACCGGTTGACGGACTGGTTCACAATTCAATCGGTCAATAGGCTAATTTAACCCGATTTTTAAAACCATGGCTCTAGAAGTTGATCTTATGTAGTTAATTTAATTGAAAAAAGGTCCATTTTGGCAAGTGGTTGTAATTAGAAGTTATGATATAAGCTCACCTTTTTAAGCAGAAGCATCTGAAACTACTAGTAAAGAAGGAAATATATTGTTTACCCTTTAGGAAACTATGATGCCGCCAGATATTGGTGTAAATACCCCCTGGGTGAAGTGAATTGACTGTTATTGCTACGCCTTCTTCCTATTTGCAAGAAATTCAGGTCATTTGACAATACATAAGCATTTATACCGTAGATATGAAAAGAAAAAACTAGAAAGTAGTGCTTCATACCAGAAAAGACAAAATGTATTAATCGGTATAAACTTGGATGGGAACTTGTATTTTTAATACTTTTGATCTATTTTAAATACATAGAAAATTAGAAATTAATTTGAGCGATGTTGATTTGTCCCTTGAATGGTAAATGATCGAAAATTAAGACAAAATAAACTCTTATTAGAAACTATCTCTATTTTATTAAAGAATAGTAGTCTGCACCTTTATAAATAAATATTGCCAAAAGTTATATTGATTGAAAAAGTATGCATATTAGAGAAAACATGAGAGAAAATTTCAGAATTTTGTAAAATATATCCGGCACTGATTTAATAAGTCCTATCTAGTAGCATTTTTTTGAAAAAATCCTAGTATAATAAATAAAAGGGAGAGTTTTGTATATGACATTCAAATCTTTTCTATTTACAGAACCATCACCCTCCTACCTCCATTCATTAGATTTTTATCAAAATATCTGTGGGCTCTGAAAATTTGGCCCCGGCCTCCGCCCGACTGTGATTTGTCTTTTATTTTTTTTTCGGGGGAGTTTTAACGGAATTAAGTTCCGGGGTAAATTTTGGAAGGCAGATGAGTTTGTAGATAAGACACTACCCAGATATTTCACCCTCATTTTGCGAGGACTTTATGATCAGAGTTCTGGTTTCCTATAGGCGCAAGCCCCTATAGCTAATTACCCCTCCTGGTAACGAGAGAGAACTTTCGATTAAGGCTAGTCGTCAATCAGATACTTAGAGATACGTAGTATCTGGCATATAGTAACAACGTGTGCATGAGTATTGGAAGTTTGAAGGGTTGGAAGATTTCATATTTAAAATTAGAAATTTCACCAGCTTAAACTTAAAATAGATGGTGGGGGAATGGATGATAGACCCGATCAAGATCCCATGGTTTCGTCGTCTCGGGCCATCGTGGTCCCTGGTCTACTTAGTCAGAGGAGGTAGTAAACCCAAACTAATAGAAGGATCCATGCCGGCAGCCATGGGTTGCTTCGTCCAAGGGAATCTTGTAGACCTGGGGTGAGTGTTTGTCTAAGGGGACAAATTTGAATCCGCTTTAGCTAACAGAGGGCTTTGTGCCCTATCGATCATATCCTATTGATTCATATCTCAAGGATTTGTTGTCACTAAGGAACATATTGGCTCTGGCCATAAACTGTATTTCGTGGTGCCATTTGACGGCAAAACTACTCGGTTCAGAGGGCCCCGGGTCATAACCGTTTATCCTGCGGTGCCATTTGGCGGCAAAACTGTCGGTTGGAGGACACGTACCACGTCCTTATTGGCAGGAGATTGTTTGATAATGGATCCTAGTGATATTTTCGACTATGCATTAGCTTTTTGTGAGCTGAAGTACATTTCAATTTATCCACCTCGGCAAACTGTTGCGGAAGGTGGATAGATTTTGCTTAAAGTGGTGATGGATTTAATTTCAATTTTAAATATTTGAATTTGGAATGGTCTTGGATTTTGAATGTTTGGGTATTTGGGATGGCATTTTGGATTATTTAGAATGGATCACTTCGGTTGAGATTTGCATTCAACGCGCCATCATCGAGGAGAGTGGGGATCATTTCCATTTGAAAATATTTGCATTTTGGATAAACCTTGTCGAGCTGTCGACAGAGAATCGGGTTTCGTAAGCTTTATGCCTTTATTAGTGAATTCTCTTGATTATAGGCTTTGAATGTCTAATATGAATGTATCAAAACAAATATACCGGTCTCCACAACTGTATATTTATTTGATGGATCGAAACCTGTTGACTCCTATTGATCCGTATAGAAGGATCGGGTTCGAACTTGAATTCACTTATTAACCCGCACAGTATCCATAGACGTCACGTATATACCAATAACACGCTCGTCGGGGCCAATGCGAGTGTTTAGGAACATTTTATAATTATTTACTGGACCTTGTCAACTTCTATTTACCTTCTTAGGAGGATCAAGTTTAAATTTAATAACCCGCGCAACATCCATAGATGTCACATGTGTACCCTTAACACGCTCGCCAGGGCTCATGCGGGTTACAATTGTATTTATCCATTTAGTATACCTATCTGTATACAAATTATGGTGCATATGCGGGGTATTTTGAAATATTTGTAAACGCCTTCTGTCCACTTATATGGATGTTGCGGATCCAGTGGCGTGGCGTAGCAGCTTCTAAATTGAGTCGTTTGCTATATTGCACAAGTAGATTGTCGTGCATTACTTGTTGCTTTTTGCAGGTGGACTATAGTGCACTAATGAATCTCCTGCTTGTATGAATTTATAAATGCCTTCTATCCGCTTATATGAATGTTGCAGATCCGGTGGCGTTACATAGTAGCTTGTAGACACCTTCTGATTGTTTGTATGTGTTGCAGATCCGGTGGCGCGGCGTTGTAGATTGTAGACACTTTCTGTCTGCTTGTATGAGTGTTGCAGATCCGGTGGCGTGGCGTTGTAGATTGTAGACGCCTTCTGTCTGCATGTATGAATGTTGCAGATCCGGTGATGTGTTGTAGCAACTTGTGAAAGCCTTTTGTCTTCTTGTATGAGTGTTGCAGATCCGGTGGCATGGCGCAACAGCTTCTGAATTGAGTCATTTGTTGCATTGTACAGGTAGATTGTCGTGCACCGCTTGTTGCTTTCTATAGATGGATTATAGCGTACTAACTAATCTCCTGCTTTTAGATATAGGTGAATCGTAGCATTGTCACCTAAATCTCACGTGATATTTCATTATTTTGATACAGACTTCCTTTTCTCATTCATTGGGAGGTTCTTCTGGACTTTGAAATCAAATGACTGCTGCTTTGGAAAGAACTCCTTTTAGGATCTTTAGTGTAGTAGATTTGTTATTTTCGGTGTTTGGGGATACCAAAGCTATTTTCTTCCTGAGTATAAGATCAAGAAGAAATTTTGGAACACCAGAAAGTTTAGTTCGAATTTGTTCAAACATCTATCTTCCATTTTACCGGGAGATGTCTTTCCCCGTACATCGAGTTTTCTTCATACCCGATATACTCACACATCTCAATCACCGTTGTTGTAAGTGATACTTATACTTGTGTCCACAGTGGTTCGTGTGTATTTACCGGGGATCGTTGTATTCACTACGACCTCCTGGAAGTTTAGTTCGAATTTGTTCAAACATCTATCTTCCATTCTACCGGGAGGTGTCTTTCCCCGTACATCGAGTTGTCTTCATACCCGATATACTCACACATCTCAATCACCGCTGTTGTAAGTGATACTTATACTTGTGTCCATAGTAGTTCGTGTGTATTTACAGGGGATCGTTGTATTCACTACAACCTCCTGGAAGTGTTTGTAAAAGAGTCATTATTTCTGCATCATATCCACCTTTCACCAATCTCAGGTGGTTTAATGATTGTACTTGTTTGTAGGGGCGGTTCTTCCACTATCAGCTGTTAGTATTGCCATCTCAATCTACAGGCACTTGTAGGGATTGTCGTAGGAGTCTATTACATCATGCTTATACATGTTTGTGATGTACTGCAAATCCTTCACATTTGCTGTCAAACATGTGTTGCATATACATCAGACCTCCTACAAAGGATCGTAGGTTCTTACATTTGTTGTATATCAAATCTCCCCTGCTTGTAGAAGATATATGCATCTACTTCCCACTGCCTTATTATAGGCTGTATAAGCATCTTAACACTTGTGGTAGACTCCTTGCATATCAGCCAACGAGTCATCGCATTTGTTGCACATCTTTACTTGTAGGAGAGCGGGGTACTCACTTACAATCGAGTGACATTGTATTAAGACTGCATTTTTCTCTGAACTTTTCAAATACCCCCTTGTTGTTAGCTCGTTGTAGGCTGAATTATTTTGTCGCTCATAGATAAGTCACATTAATGTGACAAGTCCTTTGTCGTTCGAGTTTGATTCAAGTCCAGGTTCCTTTTGATCGTTCAGGTGAAGTTTGGATTTGTAAGGCTAGGTACAAATCCCTGCATATTTGTTTGAGTTTGTTCCATTGTACATGATTCTATACTGTATATGTGTTTGAGCCCAAGTAAAGTATCACAAGTCTTCTATTTTCTCAACTAGAGGAAAAAAAGTGACGTTTGAATAACCAAGGATCTTTTTTTTTTATTGTTCAAGTCTCTTGTATCAAGTTCAAGTTCAAATCAATCATAGTCCCCTGCAGTTCATTGTCATTTGCTTGGATTTAAATTCAATTAAGCTTGAGTTCATTTAAGTCCAGGCTCAAATCAAATCCTCTGTTGTTCATCTGATTTGAGTTCAAGTCTCTATTTAGTTCATTTGAGTACAAATCCATAAGTCTTATTGCATATGATTCAAGTTTGAATTCATTGTCAAGTTAAATTGTATATTAAAATGGTTCAAATCTTGATTAATCATTTAATTTGCATTTAAGTACAAGTCCTCAAGTCCACTGTTCATTTGAGTCCAAATTCTTTGTTCTTTTGAGTTCAAATCAGATCCAAGTGCAGTAATATATTCACCTGAAATTTCATCAGCCTCCCGGCGTCTCCTCTATTTAGGGGAAAACTACGAAAAAATGGGACTCCCGCCACGCTAGAGAAAAGTGTGTACGGTAGATGCCCTCATACGAGGACACCGCGGCCATAAAATCTTTATCCCCACCATGCTAAGAAAAGCGTGTATGGGTCTATGGTATATATTACAAGAAAAGAAGTTGTTTCCCAGCAGGTACAGAGCCGCTTACGGGTACTTAAGAGTTGTCCTAGCCACACTAAGAAAAGCAAGCTCCAGGCTTACCTCATTGTAAGTGTTGCACCGGGTTTCCTTCCCGCCATGCTAGAGAAAAGCGTGTATGGGCGGTTTATAGGCTCGGCACGCAATCCGAGGTAAGAGAGGGATTTTTCTTCTTTTTTTATTATTATTAACAATAATAATAATAATAATAATAATAATAATAATAATAATAATAATAATAATAATAAATAGTAATAAAAATAAGACCCCCTTCCTCCATTATTCTCTCTCTTTTGGAGATTTACTGAATTTTTTGAAGGAGCGCACGAAAGGGGGCAAGTTAACTTCACGGCAGCGAGCTCCTGCTGCTTCTTCCGATCAAAATATGTGACTTCCGATCCAGACAGGAAGGGAGTGTCGTCGAATGAACAAAGTCGAACAGCGACCACGGAGCCCAAGAAGCGCCTAGCTCCCGTTGTTCCGTCCGATCAAAATGTCGTGGCTCCCGAGCCAGCTGGAAAGGAAAGTCGTAAATGGAGCGTAGTCGAACAACGACCAAGGGGCCCAGAAGGCGGCGAGCTCCCGTTGTTCCGTCCGATCAAAATGTCGTAGCCTCCGACTCGACTAGAAGGGAACGTCGTTGGAGGGGCCAAGCCGAACAGCCACGAAGAGCCAAAGAAGCGTACGCAAGGGATCGAGAAAGTTCCCTCGGCAGCAAACGAGCTCAGGTTCTGGCTTCCGAACAAAGTGTCGTAACTTCCGGTCTCTCAGGGAGGGAAAGTGGTTGAGCAAGCAAAGTCGCACAGACACGAGACAGGGAGAGGGAGAGGGAGGAGAGTAGAGAGCCAAAAGAGACCGAAGGCTTCGTTCTCGTGGCCTTTTAACGACGGGGGGAATGCGACTAGGTCATGTGAGCGACGTGCGACCTGCTTCGACGACGTGCGGGATGGCTTCGGCAGAGCAGGTATTGTATTTTTATTTTTTATTTTTTTGTTTGCCACGGGAAAGGGTCAACAATATAAAAACTCCCAATAAAAGCTTGTTGAAAGGTAGAGATAGACCTAAAAGACATGGTTAAAAAATATTAGAAATGTTCTTTATTAGATTTAGATGACTATTTGACCCTTAACAGACCATAATGGAGAAAAATGATTCAAGTAGCCGATCCCATAGTGGGATAAAGGCTTGTTGTTGTTGTATGAAAACTCACAATAAAACCTAATCTCATACTTTACTCTTTTGTTAAACGCCAAATTATTTGAGTGTGTCAGGTGTAAATGCAGTGGCTTGACAGTTCTTTCTTTGGAGAAGGTGTTACATTTGTAAAAGCCATGATTTGAACCCCGTGTGTTTAATTTTCCCAAAATGAAAAGAAAATTTCAGAACTGGTAAATATATGCAAGAATGTTGTTGTTGTCGTTGGTTAGACCTACGTGGGGTCGTCTACAAGAATCCTTTTTCTCCATTGTGTCATGTTAAAAGTCAAATTCTTGTTAATTCTAATAAAGAAATATCATTTCTAATATTTTCTAACCAAGTCTTTTTAGGTCTACCTCTATCTTTCTTAACATAAGTCAAATCTAATACATCAACTTTTCTAACCGGGTCATAGGAAGGTCTCCGTTTAATGTGGTCAAACCATGTAAGGCGACTCTCTCTAATCTTATCTTCCACTTGTGCTACTCCAACCTTTCAAGGGACATAAGATGGCTTTCCACGCTAATAAAAAGAAAATGCACCTTGAGTCGGTCAGAAAGCTCCTGAGCATGAAATATGTTCGCAAGCTTCGATTGCCCGTATGCAGCAAAACCATTATATCTGGTAAAGTAACAAGCAAATGTATTGTATGAACAAAGATAAGCTTATTTATTTCATAAATTGAGCTAATAGATATATATCACCAGATCTTCAAAGGTTAAATATTAGAAAATTGTAGAGGTGGTGATATAAGTATTCTATTTTCAGTGAAGAAAATAGGTGTGTAAATCTTCAACAAAATATTTACCCAGACTTCTCATTGATCCTGTCAAATCGAATTCCTTCACGATAAGAAATCCTGTATGCCGCCGAAGAAACAATGACTATTCTTCCCTCCAAACCACTCTTAGAGGCAGTAGCTTTCATATTTTCTAATAAAAGATTGGTCAGAAGAAAATGGCCTGCACAACATCAAGCGAAGCATCATCAACCTACTTATGAAATCACACACGAACACAGTTCAGCAACTTGTGGCCGGCTCAACGGCTATATTACGAGTGAAACAGTTTTCAAATATTAGAAGGATTACATTAATGGCAACATTTTTTTTTTTTTTTTTTTTGACATAGATGACATACATTAATGGCCAACATGAAATGATCTGGTTGGTATTTTATCATGAAGATACTTGTAGCAAACATTTGAAGCCAGGAACCATAGTGAATGCGATTTGCATGTATGATTATTCTGAAATGGGAGATCTTTTTTAATTAAATGGTTAAAACAAGATGTTTTTTATCACTTAGATACGTTCTGACTGAATATGATATGATCCTAATTAAAGAGAAAGCTATTAAGAAAAGATTTAAATAGTAAGACAAACTGTTATTTACCTGAATTTTAATTATGAGCTAAATACCTTATATGAAAATGATCATAAATCAAAAACCGACAAGAAGATATCTAGACAATCTTTCTAAATAAACTCAAGGTTACATTATATTCCTATTTCTAGTCATTTTATCTTACTATTATAGTTAAAATAAAACAATAATAAGGTATGTCACTGCACCTATATGGTTTGTAGCAAAGTTCATCTCTATGCCATCTTGTGATAGCATGAATGATGGCATCGCCACGCCTGCATTGTTACTTTTCCAAAAAAAGAAAAATAATATGAGTGAATCCGTGTTAAAATAATTTGCAGCGAATAAACTAGAGAAATAAGAAAACAAAAATTTTCACCATCTTATTATCTTACATTAAAATATTCAGAGGAAGATTTAGAGAATTAAAATCTGCTGCAAATTTTCTCACAGAAGCCATTGAATTGAGGTCTAATTCCAAGACATCAACTTTAGCAGTTGGGATCTCCTTTAGAATAATTTCCTTCACATTGTTACCAGCAGAAACATTTCTAACCCCTAGGATGACATGAACACCTCGCAAAGCAAGCACACGAGCTGTTTCTGTACCAATACCACTTGAAGCTCCTGGAACAGAATATTCTTATTACTAAACAGAATATTAAAAGTTAGGTGGGAAGAACAATCAAATCAAAGAAAAAACACAATTCCTCAATGTTGGATCTACTTTGGTCCTGGGGCAACATCCGAACCTGACAAGATTTACAAGATGTGCAGAATAAATGTAGACAGAAAGAGAAGGAACTAGAGAGAAATAGAGAGAGTTTAATGAGAATCTAGAGAGAGGAGACGGGCCATGGGATCTCACTATATTGACTAAAGCACAGAGTTTGAATATATGAGATTTGAGCACCCAAAATTTCCCTTTTACCACTTTATACGTTTAGAATAGGCCGTGGGTGCTATAGAAAGATCAACTTATAGGCTATAAAAAAACAAAAGGTATATTAAAACATAACGAGTATAACCTAAATTACATAGGGAACATGGACATTTAATTGAGCTTAATATTAGAAGAAGTTTTCGTACGAACAATGTACTCGCCTTTTGCCTTGATCAAGTTATTGGTCTACTAAATGAAGTCCTTGAATGGTCGATGAAGTCACTTTCTAGCTTGATGAGTTGTTGAATGGTCGATGAAGTCTCCTTCTAGCTTGATGAGTCGTTGGTTGACTAAATGAAGTCGTCGACTTATTTGCGGGGTATGTGGGTGAATAGCTTCTTAGCATAAAAGAGTTGATTTGAGATGAGTAAGCTTGGCTACGCCTTCGACTCATTGTGCTAGGGTGGGCTCATGGTAACCGATGGTTTCTCCAAACTCTTGGCAAGTTCTCCATAATACTAATAAGCTCTCCATGATCTTGGCAAGTTCTCCATAATCCTGGTGAGTCCTCCATGATCCTAATGAGTCCTCCATAATCCTAATGAGTTCATGATGAGGCTCAGCAGGTTCATTGCCCTTGTCCTTCTCGCTCCATCGAATTGCTTCGAGTAAGGATGGTTTTGTGGGGTCCAAATATTCACTCCCGGCTCTTTTGAGAGAGTTAAGTTTCAAGTAAAACTTTCAAAAGGAAAATTAGGTTGCATATAAGACACCGCCAAAAAATTTCCCCCTTATTTTGTTAGGGCTTTATAATATGAGTTTAAATTTCATATAAGCACTAGTTATTATAATTAATTATCTCTCCTAATAATTAGAGAGAATTTTTTATTAAAGTTAGTCATTAGATGCTAAGTGTTTAGTGCATAGTAGCAATGGTTTAATCTTAGAATTGAAAATTTAAGAATATAGTCTTAGGAAACAATTCAAGATCTCAAGTGAAACCTAACGATCTTGAACAAAACAACGAGAAATCTCCACAAATCCAACGGAAAATCAGATAAAAACAGGAACTTTATTGCAAGAACACAAACGGAAGAAAATAACAAGATAGAATTGATCCTCTATTTGAGAGAAGAATCTATCACTCCCAAATTTCTAGATGCTGCTAGAGCCCAAAAACCTAAACCTAAGAGATCTCAAATTTCGGCCAAATTCAAGATACCCTTATAACCCTAGGAAAATAAACTATTTAATGCATACAATTCAAAAGAAAATATCTAAAAAGTCCCTACATTCAAATTTCTCTCCTAACTCCCTCAAAAATCCTTTCCAAAAAGCTCTCCCGGATCTTGTGGCTTGAACGGCTCGAGCGGGAGGCGGACATTCTCCTTTGTTCCCGTGGACGGTCCTTTATGGATCGGCGGACCGGTCCAATGGACCGGTCTAACAATTCTTCAGCTGCTCTATTAGTGGTCATGCTATCATCCACTGGAACCAAGCTAGAGCTTTCCCCTCTAGACATAGCCATGCAACCATAAATTTCCACTCCTCATTCAACCCATTCACCATGAAATACATCTCCACCAAGTACACCCACACATAAGCATCATCCCTTTCAAATACTGGCATCCTCAACTTCCTCACCTTAGGATTGCTACCACCCCAATAGTGTATTCATTCTTCAGTGTAGCGGTTGTCGTGATCCTTCCATATTTCCCCCATGTATCGAGGGTAAGAATCCCATCTTCATTCCCTTCGCCTCACATGACCTGAGTCCCATGGTTTGCCCCATACCCCTCCTTCGGTCGTCCACTCCTCTTGCCCAAAAGACCTCCCATATTGGTCGGCCACCCCACCACCTTCCCCACAAAACTACCTTCTTGCTATCCCTCATCCGATAACCCTGTTCCGCCCCTTATCGGAGCCATAGGAGGTGGCTCTTGACACCCTCCTTCTCCGATGTCCCACTCCCCTTGCCTAAAATGCCTCTCATAGTAGGTGGCCTCCCTACCGCCTTCACCAAAAGATTTCCTCTTTTTTGTCCCCTCATCCATAAACCCTGATACACCTCTTATCGAATCCCCAGGAGGTGGCTCTTGATGAAAGAAACTCCCCTTGTCAAACTCCACTTGTTCGATCTCCTTTCCCTTTGATTCGGCCAAGAGAATCCCACAAGATCTATTTTACACTGGCCAACCACCAACCTCCTCAACTTTCTTTTCCATATCCACAAGAAATATAGACGATTGGTATCTTGATAACACTGCTATATCACATCTAACCTACAACCCCAATCAACTTCTCAATATGCAACCTTACCAAGGCTCACATAGGTCATACAAAGGAATGGACAAATACAGTCCACCTCCACATCTGACTAGAGCTTACTACCCACCTCAACAATAAACTTAACTTATATGATCTTTTATATGTTCCCAACATTATCAACAATCTTATATTTTCCCAACACTTTACTAATGACAACTTACTATACTTCATTCATCGTTGTTGGCTACATCATCACCGACCTGAGACAAAATGCATCCTTCTTAAAATCCCATGTCACAGTGGTCTTTGTTCCATCAATAGATCAATCACACTCAATGCAGCTAGCCAGTATCCAACAATCTTGCCTTAATCCCCACACATTCCCTCAAGGACCTCAGGCATCCATCCTTATTTACTCTCTCCTTATTTTAGTGAAATTGTGTCCTGCTATTTGTACTTTTTTACAACACACTCTTGTACTTCATGCCTTTCAATAAAACGATTTAAAATTTACTATATTGCATCTCTTACTTGTAGCTCTCATCCTCTCAAACTAGTTCATTCAGATGCGTGGGGACCTTCCTTGACAATATAAATACTATTTACAAATATGACGTCCTATTTATTGATGATTTTTGTAGGATTTGTGGTTTCATCCCATGCTTAAAAAGCGTGACACAATCAACAACTTCATTTATTTTAAAAATCTAGTCGAAAAAAAAGTCCAATATAACTCTTTGCATAAATGATGATGGGGAATACCTCAATCATAACTTGGACATCTACTTCTAACATGGGGAGTCCAACATCACTAGACATGTGCCTATACCCCCGAGTAAAACAAAATTATGAAAAAATACACTAACACATTATTGAAACAATTAGTACAAACCATAATGCTCATTAACCTCACTCATTCTAGGTTGATGTTATGCTCATCGCTAACTAATACATAAACATCTACTATCCTCAAACATAAATTCATCGTCCCCATACGAACACCTCCACAAATAACATCCCAAATACTGACATCTAAAGGCCTTTGGATGTTATTGCTTTCCTCTCTTTTGATCCTATTCTGCCAAAAAATTATTGTTGTGCACAATTTATCATGCCTTTCTCAACTGCACCACAAGAAAGGTACTATTGTTTTGAGCCCATCTTAGGTAAAAAATATGTATCACACCACATGATCTTCAATGAAAACATTTTCCTATATCACTTCCCTTGATTCCCTCACCCACACTCTCCCATGTACTCAACAACACCACCTTTAACTTTATTGTATGTTGGACACTCCAATAGTAGTCATCTAGTATTGAAGAACATCCCATCACCTTCTCCAAATTAACCATGAACCCAACCAAACCCCACTATCTTAATACACTCCACTCATCATTCTCCTACTCCCATCTCTCCTACTTGCCTCTCTCCAATTATATATCCCCAACTAACTTATCACCACTCTCCTCTCCTTGTACTACCCCTCCCATTACAGCACTTAAGGGGTCATCCCATGCAAACACATTCGAAGACTAGCCATTCACCCCCAAAGAAAATCCTAAGTTAGTTCATTCCCTTACCACCAGTGATCTAACTTGTTATTCTGAATCAATCAAGGATCCTAAATGACACCACGCCATGTCTCAAGAAATTGATGCTCTCCTGCAACAAAGAACTTAGATACTAATCCCATCATCCCCAAAATTAAACATGCTCGTATGCAAATGGACCTACAAGATCAAACATAACGTAGATGACATTATGGCCAAGTACACAACTCTTCTAGTGGCTCTAGGCTATAAACAAGAACATGAATGAGACAACGTGAAAACTTTCAATTTAGCCACCAAAATGCCAATGATTTACAAAATTCTTCCATCTACTCTCTCTCTCTCTCTCTCTCTCTCTCTCTCTCTCTCTCCCTCTCTCTCTCTCTCTCTTATGTAATTGGCCTATCACACAACTTGATGTATCCAACACCTTTCTCTCCATGACCTTGATGAAACCATCTATATGATTCAACCACCAAGCTTCAAAGATCTGCCAACTTAATCATGCTTTTCTTTTTCAGAAGGCCATCTACAACCTTAAACAAGCACCTAAGAAATCATTCGTCGCCCTCAACACTCATCTTTGACATTGTCTTCAGCATGGTCGACACCTTGCTGCACATCTACAACAAATAAGGTACCATAGATACTATTTATCTCCTAATCTATTTGGATGACTTACTAATTACTGATAATAATTTATCTATCATCTATATCATCACACAACAAGTTCCAGCACTTTCATACAAAAAACCTTGGCACACACCCCCTCCCCCCTCTTAGGACTTCGAGCCAAATTCACCTCCTCTGGCCTACATTTAAACCAAACCCACTATGCTACCACCCTTGTCAATCAATTAGCATGCTGTCATATAAATCTTGCGTGAATCCCACTTTAAATAAACAACCAACTACATAAACAACTGTTGGAAATAAAATAATGCAACAAAAAATAGAAAAGAACACCGGGATTTAACGTTATAAATCCTTAAATTGGGAAAAATATGTAGTCACACTACACCAAGAAATCCACCATAAAAATAAGAGAGAAATGTACATATCTCTCTTCTCAAACTCTCTCCTTGTCTTTCTTCACTTTTCATACCATTCTACACTGAAAAGAAACAAAGAGATGCACTTCAATTACACTAAAGGATGCAACCGTTCAAGTGAAATAGGGAAAACTGCTCAACCCGACTTGCAGCATTGTGACGCTATACCTGTAGCGCCTATGCGTTGATTTCTCTGTCTCGCAGCGCCGTAGTGTTGTTTGTTAGAACTACATTGTTGTGCTCTATGTCTTAGAGGGGTTCTACAATGCCTTGGAGCTGGATTAAAAGCATTAAGACACTGCACAAAAAAAATTTTTTTTGGTGAGCAGGGGACGCACCGCCCCTTGCAACCCCCCAGTGAGCTCCTTATTGAGCTCGACCAATGGATTGAGGTATGAGTCAACAATACAATCTGATTGATCGACATAATCAGATTCCACACAAAACTAACAACAACCTCTCAAAAATTTTGAAAATCCACACCTTTTTCCCCAACGTTAGGATCCCTACAATATCTAACCATCACTTGCCTACACAGCAACCATGTAGTCAACCACCTCTACCAACAAATGCATAATCCACTTTAGCTACACAACAAGCAACTAAAAAGTCTATTTCGATATCTCAAAGCCAACCTTCACCATGGTCTATTGATTTAGAAAGGCCAACTCTCACTAACCATGTATGTTGACTCTGAGTCTCCGACCAGGCTAGTGAACCTAGTGATAAAAAAATCTACATCTTGATATCACGAGTTCCTTGATTAGAACCTCATTTCTAGCACAATTCATACCAAATTAACACCTATCAGTCTATATGACTTACATTCACTCTCGTGGAATGAGTGAATCAACATTGCCAAATAACAACAATAAGGAATCATTCATCCCTGACCTACTCACTACCCTCACAATCAATCAAGGAAGACCCTTGTCACTTGAAGGAAGAAAATGATCCCCCGGCTATATGAACAACTTTAATTTGATATGTGAGTTTGCATTTAATTGCACTATTAACCTAGTCCTTAAATCATAGGCTAGGCTCATTAAATTTGAGCCATCCAATCTAAGATTAGACAATCTCATTTCATCTACTATGGTAATAAGGTGCACCTATTTAATTGTACAAATAATTTGACTTCAATACGTCCAAAGTACAAATGTATTAAATAAATCATTTTAATAAGATTTCTACAAAATTACTAGAACTTCTAAAATATGAAAATCATAGAAACTCAAATTAAAATGTTATGAAACAACTAAAAATTAGGAGAAAATTTTTTAAATAATCCAAAAATGGTTTTAAATATAATTTAAGAGTTGGTTTCCCTAATTGTTTATTCATTACATGTAAATAACATTAAATTGAAAATTAATGAAAACTTCTGGGATTAATTCCTAGCCTAATATTGAAGAGCTTCATCGACCTTGTTGGCGATGGCATGCATTGTTGGTGCCAACAATATGCATTAGCTTTATTGGTAGAGACATACATCAAGGTTGATATCAATGACACATACTAAACTTCTTGGGGATAACATGCGTCAATATTGAGGCTGACAACATGCATCAACCTTAATGGTGACGATGAATGTTGGGATCGATATCGATGGCTATCATTAACCTTGTTCGCATTGACAGACATTAGAGTTGATGTCAATAACAAGTTTCAGCATTCTTGGCGATGATGTGTTTCAACAGCATCCATTGGCTTTATTGGTGACGACAGACATCCGAGTTAACATCAATGACAGGCGTCGATCTTATTGATTATGGCGAATCAATATTATTGCCAAAATGGCCATTGTCAATGTTGGTGTTAACAGCGTGCATAGATCTTATTGGTAATAGCATGCATCGTTATTGATGCAAACGATCTCCATCGGCCTTATTGGCAATGACGTGCATTGAGGTGATTGTTAAAAACATTCATGCACTTATTGATCATGGCATGCATTAATGTTGATGTTAAAGACATGCATCGACCTCATGAGCAATGTTGTGCATCAACTTTATGGGCAATTTTTCACATAAACATTAGCATTAATGATAAGCATCAATCTAACTGCAAATATTGTGCTTTGATGTTGGTGTCGATGACGTCCATCTGCTTTATTGGTGATGGTGTGTTTAAATGTTGCATGGTGGAAGTTGACGTCAGTTGAGAGATGATAATTGGGAAACGTTGTTGAACGATGGTTTGGGCGAAGGTAACATGCAATAGTAGTAATTAGTAGGGATTGTTGAGTAGAGCTCTATGATTCTTCAAAACTATGGCTCTCTTCAACTCAATGCCTCTTTTATGTGTAGAATGAGGGCATATTTATAACTTTTCAGAATGATAGTTTGATTATTAAGCCTAAATTCCTAAACACTATGTGGAACAATCTTCTTTATTATACAACATTCTTTATGCATTTAAATATCATAAAGATATTATAATTTAGTAATATGAGCTCATTTTATTCCTCTCGTCAAGACATTCATTTTAACTAGAACCACAAAATTCAGAAATAGCTTTGTTCATCAAACCGTACAGTGAATTTTCCAACTACATATGAAATTTTTTATTTATGTTCATTTGTACTCTTATCAACACACCTTCAGTGGTGTTGGGTTCATCTTATCGAACAGTTCATTTTAACTTAAACTTATTAGTGATCATCAATTTAATTCTAAACTTTTTACTCATATATTTGAATCAATATCCATACTATTCATTTTCTGTGATGTATCAATATGAAATTTTTAATAAATGAAACATGAAATGTGAAAAAATGATCTCGAAGCATAAGAAATCACCATCATATGACTTATAGCAAATAGAATGATTAATCAAAGAAAATAAAACTAAAATCATATAAAGTACAAGAAAACCCCGAATAAGAACACCTGTGATTACGGCAGTTCGACCGCTTCCATCAATTCCCTGAGTTGCATCCTCCGCAGTCGAAGAAGCGGAGAAACCTGACTGCCCCTTACTTCACAGTGTTAGCCACCCCATTCTCTTCTTCTCCCTCGCAGAGAAAGCGGATAGAGAGAGAGAGAGAGAGAGAGAGAGAGAGAGAGAGAGAGGAGTGAAGTAGGAAGCCCTTTACACGTTTTCAGGCAAGAAAATTGAGACAAAAAATAGCAAAACAACGCTTGCTATCGGCAAGGAAAGATTATTTATCTCAATATAAGTTTGAATAAAAATGTAATTTCATATATAAAAATATGAATAAATGCAAATTTTTTTATTAATGATATTTTCCTTAATTCTAATTGAAATATATAATTATATTATAAACATTCTGTTTTTTTAAAGAAAAACTTCTTATCAACCGAATAAAAAAGTGAATTTTTTTTCGCTTAATTTTTTCTAAAATTAAAAAGTGGGACAAATTTAATTTTTATTTATTTATTTATTTTCTCTTTTTTAAATTTCTTCAAATTGAATATAATAATGATTACGTCATAATTAATTATTTTAGCTATAACTTAGAAAATTGTTTTAATATTGTTTTGAATTTTTGCAAATAAGTGAAAATGGAAAATCTAAATTTCTGTTTGAGTTGGAGCACAATGATGCTAATTCTTTGAGCGCTACGACGTTAGGCTAATATCAAGCGGCTGCAGAGAATGCCTACGCGGCATTAAAGCCTCTATTTGTATAATAACTACAGATTTTGACATGCAAAATTGAGTGTTAGTGTTGCGGCGTTGCCCACTAATTTTTTTTTATATATTATTTTTCTTACTCACCGTCCCTCATTTCCCCAGCCAGTGCCAGCTTGCTGAGTAAGGGAGAGAAGGGAGAGTGAAGGAGGAAAAAGAGAACGAAAATTTTGAACATTTCGTTTTCGAATTGGTTTGTCATTTTTATAATTTTTTTTTTCAGATCGAGGTATATGTTTCTAATATTATCTCTATTTTCAAATATTTTGATTTTGACCATTGAATTCTTCTCAAAATGATTTTACTATATTTTATAATTAACTTTTACCCCACAATTTTTGTATGTTCTCATACTGATTATTATGGATATGTTGACTTTAATATTTATGAATTTCATCTGGTAAAATAGAATTTATTGATTTTTGTATAATTTATAATGTATAGAAATTGTGTATATTTATTTAAGCATATTGATAAATACAAACATTGAGAATGAAAATGTATATGTGATTAGATAATAGTTGGTCGCTATTATTGTTAAAATATAGTGATAATAATATGTGTGAGAATAAGTAAAAGTTAATTTCACTTATATTGGATGAAGACTGACTTACGTGTAGTGGATGGTAAGCTGATACACTTCCCTTTAAATATTATAGTTTGGTGTTATTCTTTGTTGTTTCATGTGATATTGATTGAAAGTTATAAGGAGTTTTTACTGTGCCAATGAGCAAAGAGTGACAAATTTATTTACTGAGCCAACGGGATACCGATATGGATTATTGCTTACTAGAAAAACACCACTCAAATCAGAACTTCTTTTTTGTTTAGTGTGACTACTTAAATACATATTACAGATTCATTGTTATTGTACAACTTTACTGATACTATGTTGATTTACTGCTAAACTATGAATTACTATCATAACATTGATTTATTGTTACTGTTATTGGATTTACTGGTACCGATACAACCATCAATGTTGTTATTGATACCAGTGGCAGAGCCAAAAACTTATTATAGAGGGGGCCCAAATTTTTTTAAAATTTTTCTCAACTTTTTCCATATGGACTTGGGACTGGCATTGATAGTTTTAAAATTTTTTAAAAAACTAAAAACTAAATATAAGATGAAAACACTTATAATTTATAGTCTCTGCTCTTCATATTTTGAAAAAAATGAATAATATCACAATTATCAATACAATTTAATATTCTTTCTCAATATAAGCAAGTAAAAAATCATTCATCCACTTATCTCCAATTCTATTTCGCAGTCAAGTTTTTATGATAGTCAATTTTTTAAAAATACTTTTTCAACTCTTTTTGTTGCAATAGGCAAGACTAAAGCCAAATTTAATAGCTTAATACTTCTTTTTCTATTTCATTATCTCAGCAAAGCATCAAATATCTTTTTACAATAAAAATTGTGAATCAGATTGTATATCCATGATATAATTTTTTAACTTATTGTCAAGAATTTCCAATTCAACATAACTAAAATCATATGGATAAAGTAGTGTCATTCGAATTAATATGTTTTATTGAATACATAAAAAAGATTTATTTGGATTCAAACAAGTAATATATAGAAGTAACTCAATATTTATCTATGTGAAATGATTATTTAACACTTGAAGTTACATATCAATAATTGTGTGGAATATTTCAACTAAAAAATGATATAAATTTATCATATCTTAAGCTCTTCGATAAGGTCGTCCCCAAGCAACTCATCTATCATTCATATGCGTAACATTTATTTTTTGTTGCTCACAAAAAGAAGTTGCTTTGGTGATGAAGTTTTATCATTTATTATCTCTCATATCTTATAGTCTTATTTTACATATTCGAACAAAAAATATAGCATTTATAATGTCTTGTTCTTTTCTTTGTAAAGCTTATGACAATTTAATAGTTATATCAAGTATATCTTTAATCAAGAGTATGCATAAAAATTTTTTTTTGAAAGATAGTATTAATTCTAATAATGAAAATGCCACATCTTTTTTGTTCAGAACTTATACCATCTTTTAAAACAACTTCAAGAAAATAAATTAGTAACATAATAATTAATATAACAATTGATTCATAGTATGAACCCCATCATATATCGCCTAACAGTCTTAGAGTTATTTTTCAATTCAATCCTTATCTTGATACAAGTTCTCCATTTTGTAATTCCGTTAAAGTCTTCTCCCATTGTTTATCTCAAAGTTGGTCAAGATGCTTGCATGAAATACCAACGATATTCATTACATAAAAAAATACTATGAATAAGAAAGCAATTTGAACATGATTTTTGTAACAGATATTAAGGCTAATTGAAGTTGGTGTGAGAAGAAAAGAATGTAATTTGCTGATTTATTCTCATTGAGGAATAATATCTTTAACCCATTATACTCCCCTCTCATATTACTTGCTCCATCATAATCTTGACCATATATGCATTCTTCATATACTTAAACCATAAGTTGAAAGTAATTCTTCAATAATTTTTTTGAAACATTTTATAGTTATATCTAGAACATGAACAATACCAAAAAAATATTCAATTATCTTACCATTTTAATTAACAAATCGCAACACAATAGTCATTTGCAATTTAGAAGATATGTCACGTGATTCATCAAGCAAAATAGAGAAGTAGTTATATCTTATTTTTCTTTCATATAAAATATGGGATGGCAATTGACATAGATCTTGTGATATCCTTTTGAATATATGGTACAATTAATTTTATTTTTTTAAAGCATTTTAAGCACCACATTATTAATGTCATCATTATGTTCAGCAAGAAATTGCATCAATAAAAAAAAATCATTGATTTTTGGATGTCTCACATGCACTCATCATGTCCTATGAAAGCTAATCATTATCTTAAAAGAAAACACGCACAATTTATATATGCATTTAAACAAGTACAATATGCAGCTGTAGCATAATCATATTGCTTCTAAAATACAAAACTAATATGTCGACTCTGCCTCATTAAATCTTTACAATTTTGTCATGCATTATTATGCACGTTGTTATGACCCATAACATGAAGTTCAAATTTTTTAATTTGAAAATCCTTTCTTATTGAATGCATCATCATCCTCATTTCCTCTACTTGCTACTTTAAAGAGATAATAACTGTTGCGTCCAGGAGTATTCGCGGCGGTAGAGAAATATAATGTTTATCGTCTTAGCATTGTACGAAAATCCGGCACGCAATCAGATAAGTGAGAGTGTCTAGCATTTATGAGACACCAAGAATTTTTACGTGGAAAACCCCTGAAAAGGGGAAAAAACCACGGGGCCTAGCCCAGTTTGAATGAATCCACTAGTATTGCAGTCGATTACAAATGAGACCCTTCCTTGGGAGAAGGCCTTAGCTTGATGTACATTTTATAGAGTACATTACATGATATGAATACAAAGAATCACTATTGACATGTTCGTTTGGTCGGGAGGACCGTAGTCGGCGGGCGACGGAGGTCGGAAGGCTTGCAGTCGGTGGGCGACGTAAGTCAGGAGGACCATAGTCGACGGGCGACAGAGGTTGAAAAGATTGTAGTCGGCGGGCGACATAAGTCAGGAGGACTGTAGTCGGTGGGCGACAGAGGTCGGAAAGATTATAGTCGACGGGCGACATAAGTCAGGAGGACCGTAGTCGGCGGGCGACGGAGGTCGGAAGGACAGTTGCCATGCGAGGGAGGTTGGAAGGACTGTGTTTGACGATGAAGGTTAGAAGGACGACGTCAGGTAGAAGTCCAACAATGGAAAGAAATCTATCTTCGGATATAAGTCCAGCAAAAGTCTGGTAACCAGTAGAAGTCCTGCGTCGGGTAGAAACTTGGCGAAGAGTGAAGGCCAGGTGTCGGGTAGAAGTCCGACGTCTGTTGGTAGACGAGGAGAACTCCGGCCTCACTTGGGCAGAGTTTCGGCGTCAGGAGGGAACTCTATCGTTAATTGAGAAGAATTTCTGCATCCCATGGAAGTTGGTCAGAATTCCTGCGTTCTCCCGAATATCACGCAGAATCCCGGCGTGCTCGGGCGGCAGGACGAACTCCGACGGTGGTCGAGGAAGAGAGGATTCTCCCTTTCCCCTTTTTCTTCTTCTTTCCTTCTTCTTCTCTCTCTTCACTTGAGTTCCCTTTGTGTATAATGAGGGCTCTATTTATAGTTTTTCTGGAGTGGCATAGCTCGTAAATAGGTGTGAGATCATGGGCGAATAGGGAGTGGTTTGAATGGACGGCCGATATTGAACCCTTCGATCGTGCACCGTTTGTTGGACATTTGGAGGCCTTAATGATGTCGGAATTTGGCGATCTTGGGCTCGTTGAATTTGTCTAGTCGAGCCGCTCGATTCGAGTATAAGTTCGTTAAAATCAGAGACCGTTTGGTAACTCAAATTACGGTTTGAACCTTCCAACAGCGCTTAAGGTCCTTGATTCAGA